AAAAAGGGAAGAGAGAGAGAGAGAGAGCGAGAGAGAGAGAGAGAGAGAGAGAGAGAGAGTGTGAGAGGGGTAGAGCAGTATAGGTTGTAGAATAGGCTTACGCTATATAAGCACGCGCCCACACTAAGCCTCCACCGCATTAGCCTTCAGGACAATTATAACCTCTCACGGGGAGATGAGTGCATTGTTTTCCTTTAAGGGTAGCAACGAAAACCCCCCAATTTTACTACTTTTCAACTCCGGATTTTACTAAACACCAATTTCGAATCAATCGGATTCGGATTCGATCGAATTCGTTCCGGGTTTTAGATCACCCGGCACGTCGTTGTTCGCATCATAATATCGCGAACAAACAGACAGATTTCAGACGATGCTTTGCGATTGGTATTGAAGCAGCTGTGATCGTCTGCGGTTAATTTCCTCCCGCATGGAGGACGGAATCATGGATGAAGAGCGCTGTCGGTCTTTAGTCTGACGTCAGCAGCAGTGGCGACATCTGCGGTCGGTTGTGACACGAGTTCTTCGTGCGTCAAATGGCGATACTCCCGGTGTGTGTGTGTGTGTGTGTGTGTGTGTGTGTGTGTGTGTGTGTGTGTGTGTGTGTGTGTGTGTGTGTGCGTGTGTCTATGTCTGCGCGTCGCCGGTCGAATTATAATTACTTACATGTCCTGATGATTATTTACACATAGCGCGCTGATCAACGGTCCGATTGCTGCGCATTGATTTCAAATTGCGTATACCGCTGCTGTAGTAGTAGCTACGTCGGCACTTTCGGTTAGGCCAGCGTCGCCAACATCAATGTCGCTGCGCGCAGTGAACGCCGACGACCGATTCAACGTCGAGCTTTCGTTGATTTTCATCACTCTACTTTGTTTTCGTCGCTTGTGTGGCGTGTGCGCAATTAAGACTTACTAGTAGAAATAACAGTAGTAATTGGGTAACGTAAGTAACGTGAAAAGGGGTAGCTGGCGGTGGGGGCCGCAGGGGGTGGCTTAGCAACTCTGTGTGGGAGTTGAGGGAGTGAAGAACCATAGAACTTATTTTTCTACTCTCTTACTTCTGCTTTTCTTACTTAAACTTTCAAAGGACAAGCTCTTGCGGCGACCTCTATATCAAATCAATCTGGTTGGCAGTATGACCATCGGGGGGGGGGGGGGTCCTCATCGGGTAGTGGAGAGGGACGGATGCGGCACTTATCGCGGAGTTCTTGTTTGGTTAGAAGTCGACACGCCTCTTGGCATTTCACGTACATTATGACACTTACGTCAACCCCACCCACACACAGTGGTTGTCAATCCACTGAGTCAATCCACGAGTTATCCGTACCAACATTGGCAGTCAATTCGTCAGTCACCAATGGCTTTTTCTTTTGAAAGACGTTGTGGGGACCGATTGTTCGTAGTTATTCGCGGCAGTCATCCTCGTTCGCAGGATCGTTGACCGTAGCAGAACACTGCAAAGTTGTTAGCCATAGCCATAATCGCAATTTGTAGCCGTTAATCCGTGGGTGCGGTTGTAGTTAATAGTTATTAAAGTGGTAATATCAATGTGATCGGTCTATCCCCGTTTCATTCCCATTCTGGCAAAGATTTACCCCCCCCCTCCCAGCTCAGACCTATATATTTATACATACACATACATATACATATATATATATATTGATTGATTGATTGATTGATTTATATGCGTGCGCACATGTGTGTTTGCATGCGCACGTGTGTGCGCGCGCGTGTATGCGTGGGCGAGTGACTGCTACTATGAGTGACTGCTGCTATTGTCTATATCCTATCTGCTACAGTACTGCTGTCTGTCACAACTCGAGGGAAATGGAAAATGGTAATCACGACGTACGCCGTCGTTTATACATTCCTGCAACGGCGAAGAGGTGTCTTCTGCGCGAAGCGGTGGTTATAGAGTCAGGCGACGAATAATAAAAGCCTACTTTCGGTAATGAAAGAAGGCGAGGAGTTGCTTACGAGAAATACGAGTTGTGTTCGCTGTGTTCAGTGCTCGTGTGACCTATTGAAGAACGCTGCTGGTGACGATAGCCAGAGCCGCCAAGGAGGTTATATTTTCGCCCCTGATAGTTTGTTTGTTGGTTTGTTTGTCTGTCAACAGGATATCTCAAAAAGTTACGGACGGATTTTGATGGAATTTTTTGGACGGGTTGGTCTTGGGCCAAGAACCAATCGATTACATTTTGGTGGCGATCCGGATCCAGATCTGGATCCAAGATTTGTTTGTACCGGCAAGATGGGG